TGGTGGGTGAGAATATATGGCTGGGGATTGAGAAAGGGTGGGAGAGGTGAGAAAGGACGCAAGTGTTTTGTGACAGACTACAGAGTTTGGGTCAAAAAGGAGACTTACAGGTGTCTAGGCAGGAGTGAGTAGTAGCCTCCACCAGGGCCATTCCTGGAGGGGATGGGCATAAACACAGACTCAAGTGACAATGAGGAGAGGGAAGTGGGTGAGCCAGCTGCAATTTGGCTGGTACGTACAAGATGGGTAGAGCCATCCAGAAGAGGCCCTCGGATTCTGGCTCAGGCAGCTGGTAGGTCCAGGTTCTGTGCCCTCAGACTGCAGAAGGTTCTGCCAGTCCGCCACCGCCCAATCCTGGACCATTCGGCACTAGTGACTGCTAACTGCTAGCATCTACATTCTTCTGTTTGAGTTTTTCTGGGCCCTGAAGAACTTCTCTAGCCCCTAGCCCATTTTGCTACAGGAAGGAAAAGAGGCTTAATGAGGAGCACCCATCAATTAGTAATCAGTAAGAGACGAGGTGCAAATACATCCCCTCCTTCTCCTCCTGGGGTCATTCCAGGTGCTGCTTCACCTCAGACTAGCAGAGGACCCATCAGGACATAGCCCCGGATGTCCACTGTGGTGGCTGGCTTTACTGAGTGCCTACCTGTCCTGCCTCTCTCACACGCTCCTCTGCCACTACTTTCCAGAATCAGCTCTCCAGTGAACGTGAATCTATGTCTCAGGTCTGGTTCTGGGAAAACCCAAATTAAAGCAGATGGCCAAGCAAGAGCGTCTTAGGAGTAGGGAGAGGTATATGGCAAGGCGCTATCCTTAGGGGGCTTGAACTGCATACCCAGCCTGTTATGTGCATGAGCCAGGCCTGCTCTGCAGGGATGGGAGCTTGGCTGGATGCCCTTCATCCTTACCAAACAGAACTCGATTCTTAATGAGGCAGAACAAGGGACAGGAAACAGGATCAACCCTGGCACAGATGCTGATGCACAGAGGAGAAAGATGGAGGGACTCTGGGCCCTTGGGGGCATCATGAAGCCACCAAATCATTCTGGCTTCTAGGAATCTTCACAGCGACAACCACTAAATGAGACAAAGAATCAAGTGTAACTGCAAATGCTTGGATTTGAATCCCTGTCCCGCCTCTTACTTAGTCTCCGTGATGACCTCCGACTACCTACCCTCTTTGGGCTGTCACATCATTGTCTATCAATAGGGATAGTAATGGTCCACTGCCATCAAACAGCTGGGAACATCAAGAGTCAGTAGCTGTAAAAGCACTCGGCACAGAGCCCGTACACAGTGCACTTGACATGCCAGCAAGCGCCACTGCCAACACTAGACCAGGGCTTCTTGACCTTACATGCACAGATCAACTGGAGATCTCATTGAAATATTGATTCTGCAAGGAGAACTGAAGAAAGTAAAATGGAAAGAGAGCTTTTCAAATGGGAGAGGGATCAAGAGTTGGAGGGAATAGGAAGGGATGGAGGGGAAGAAAGAGGGTAAAAGAGAATTAAGATGTATTATGTCCACACACAAAACTCCCCACAGTAAATGTCATCATTATAATATATTGCAAACATGTACCAATAAAAGAATGCATAATAGGGCCAGTCAGATAGCTCAGTGGACTAAAGGGCCTGCTTAGGCAGGCGCAGAGACCGGGGTTTGATCCCCTGCATGCTGTGCTGGCCCCGCCCCCTCCCCCTGGGTGCACTGTGACTGTGAATGAGACTGGGCGTGGTGGCGTGTGCCTGTAATCCCAGAGCTTGGGAGGCTGAAAACAGGAGAATCACTACAAGTCCAATCTGTATAGTGAGACCCTATACTAAAAATAAAAAA